CCCTGTCGGTTATCATGTTTCACTTAATGATTAGTCGTCCCGAGCTGCAAGAATCGACTGAATGCTACAACCAGGTCCGCTACTCCGTAGCGGTGCAGTGTCCTTTCACATGGTCATGACCGCCGGAAGCCTGAAGCGTCTTCAGGAAAAACACATAAAGATACGCTCCTTGTCTAAGTGGTACAAGAATAGTCAAGTCAACTGTCAACAGTCAAAGAACCGCGGTAACAAAACATGTTATTTAACGAGACTGAAAGCACCAAAAACATGTAACGTGAAGCGTGTTCTACAATTACATCAAATTTGTCACTTTTCAAAGCAACATTTCTCGGTGTAGAGTTCTCCTCCAGAAGCTGATAGCCACTCAGTTAAAAATTTCCTGCCTTATATGGATCCCGGAAGTTCATTGCCTTGTTTACAAGCGCTTGTCACGGGGATTCTATGCTAAGAAAGTTCAATTCAATCGACACTCTATTTTTTCAAATCCATTTCATTATTTTCCCCTACGCCTAGACCTCTTACGCGGTTCCTCCCTCCAGGTTTTCCAATTCAAATTTTGTCCTTCCTTATCTCAACCGTTTGCTACACCATCATTGGCAAAACAGCACTATTTTAGCTATAGGCCGCTGCAGAAGATTCTGCCAGACTGCATCAGGGTTTTACTTCTTTGAATTTCGTAAAATATGTTTCTTTCTACAGAACAAGATTTTCGGCTTTGCATCCAATCCCCAACCTGGACGACCAGGTTCCTGTATTTATGTCCCCCAGTGACAGATGGCCCAGGTATACCCCCAGGCACTGGATTCACTTTTCGTTGCCTTCTACAACTCGCAGGGCTACAGTGGAGGTATTCTATCCCCCCCCCCTCCACACGGGAACATTAATTTGATCAACTTGACGATATTTCGTTACGACTACAAACTATCAGCCTCGCTAATACAATCCCATTCTTCATGGCGTAAGTTACTGTTAACACTCTAAGATTAATTCTTGTTACGTGGACCATCCAATATTCTCTCTCTCTTTCTCCCTTCCTCTTACTCTCATTTTGGAGCATAGGGTATTCGTGAAATGCTTGTTTCATTTTCGTTTCTTGATCTTAGTCGGTAGGACTCTTGGGCGGGGGATCGGCCCGTCCCAATGCCGCTACCTAGACGGGAGAGCATAAACACAGAGTAAACGCAGACAGACAACTACGCCTTGAGTGGAATTCGAACCCAAGATCCCAGTGTTCGAGGGAGCGAAGACAGTCCATGATCTAGACTTCGCGATCACTGTGATCAGGCAACCAATATTAATTTCTAATTATACCCAACCTTGGAACATCAATTCAAGTACGTCGCATTTCACCTACAGCTTCACTGCCAGCTAACAAGGCCATGAATCCGTACTAACATCAAGAGGTACTAGATATTAAACATACTAAGACGTTGAACTTGTAATGTTGCAATGTTTCATCAACCTGCTTTGAGGCTCTTAGCTTCCCGTGAGTATCAGTTCACCAGCAGCTTGCCACGAGACACAGACAGGCGTCGCATGGGACTAAGAACAATAGCAGTGTTTACGTACTTAAGAGTACGTAACAACAGTTCTTAAGCACAATAAAAACAATTAGGAAACCAGTCATATGTCCAGAATGCTTGATTAAGATGTAAATATGATTTAGACTTAAGATGTAACAGGTCATGGTGACAATTCCAGAACGTTTCCATTCGAGACCCGTGGTTTGTTCCAATATGCCTGATTAATGCAAGAGTAGTACTCAAGTTCGCTGTCCATAATTAACCCATGTCCATTATCCCTGTATTAAATATCATTGTCTTCATTATCTTCTTCAACCTTTGCGCTGACCACGCGACACCCTCTATCCGCTAAAGTTGGCACTAACTTCGCCGACAAGCGGCGGTCGCTCGGTCGGTAAACTTCGTTTGCGGACTGCAAGCCACGGAGTTTGCTTTTATGACCCATCATAGGAGATGGTAAATTGGTGCTCAGAGCATTAAGCAAATCGGATCAGGTAAACAGTGAACAACATTTATCAGTTTCTTTTCAATGAACTAGAATGTAAGATGTACTGGGATAAAGCTGTCCCCTAATTAAAAGAGAAATGGTAAGTAAAGTAAAGATATCCCTGTAACATGACGTGGAGCCTCATATGGATGTGCGATGTTGAGGTTCTTACATTTTCTATACAACTGGCTCAGAGATGGCGGTAAGGTTGTTAGCCTTACGCGCCGGCCGCCCTTTACCCCAAGAACATTCCTGGCACTCTTTTCTGTTAGAAGGTGAGTCGACCCCAGGGCCATAGTGCGGCTGGAAGGATTAGGTAAATTGAAAAAAAATGCACCTCATCGCGATTCGATCCCGCGACCTTCCGGCTTGTAGCATAGTGCCTCAACCAACTACGCTACCCCGTGCCCCTTATAATAGTTTCAGCTCACCCGTATGCTGCATTCACTCATTACTTTATGATTCAATTATGAGTCAAATTTCACTCAAAAGCGGGCCAGACAACCTTAAATACGGCCAGGAGGCGATAAATCCTCTCCCCTAGTTAAAACAAATATACTTTCTCGAAACTTCTTCGCAATTGATAACACGGAATTTCCTGGATGATTCAAAACCGTTATTGGTATCTCAATTTTAACATATTTACAAGTACGCGTGAATGCCTAGATTACTGTCAATTAAGATCAGCAGAAGTTAACTTTATTCAACAAAAAACAAGGGGGAAATTCTGCAAAATTTGTTCAGGTGATCGCTTAACTCTGTTGTGCTTTCGAGGCCACCTTGCTTACAAGATGAACATGGAAACTGTCAGTACGACATGAAAAAAGTCTCCCTTCCTTCCTGCCTATCTTTTTTCCCTCTTTCTGTCTCTTTCGCTCCCTCTCAACTTCTGCTTCCCTCCTTCACCTCTTTCATGCTTCCGTTCTTTAACGGTTTTCTTTTCACGTAGCTTATAGATGTCAACCGGCATTCATTAATATATAAACGAAGTTTGTGGCTTACCGCAAAAGCCTGAATATAAGGGGTTTTATTTTCCAAATACTGTTTCTTAAAAATGAGGGATCACCTGCTTTTTCCGGTCTTTAAGAATAAATATGAAGGGGATGATTATGAAGACTCCTAATTTCTCATTTTAACGATGTTTTTAGAAATACCTAAAATTGTATTTAAGGCATTATATTTTGTGTTTATCATCTCCTAATAATTGTGTTTTTACTCTTCTTTTTAACAGTCCTCAGAACATGATATTCAGAATTGCCAAAAAAATTTGCTTTCTAATTTTTTCTTCGGGAAAACACGAAGTCACATTATATTCGCGTTACTACTGTATATGGGCCGCGCCATAGCTCATACGGTTAGTCGCTGGCTTCCCACCACGGTGACCCGGGTTCGATCTCGGGTCTGGTCAAGTGGGATTTATGGTGGACAAAGTGGCGCTGGGGCGGGGTTTCTCCGAGTACTAAGCGATTTATTTTTACGTAGGAAAAGTACGAATAGGCATGTACTTTCTTCGCTCTCTTGGAAACCGGAATCGTGGGTTCGAATCCCACTCAGGGCATGAATGTTTAGTTTGTGTGTGTGTGTTTTTCTGTGTTTGTGTACAGGTAGAGGCCTTGCGACGAGCTGATCACCCGCCCAAGGAGTCCTACCGAATGTGTAAGATCTAGAAAAACCGAAGTGAACGCAGAAGTTCATGGAGGTAGGCCTAGGCCCACTGGGGCTGTAGTGTAAACGGGGGGAGTACGAATATCCACCATAACCGATTCGAGGCCATGTCCTCAGTTCTCTGATGGTCATTCAAATGTGCGCGGCTCTTAGTTTGTGTTACAGAGACTGTTAGATAGAGGAATTTAACGGTTATAGAGAGTACTATGTAAATATTTTGACAGCTTGCTGTCCGCGGTGGAAAATGCAACTTAACATGTCAGAATTTATATTATGAACCTTGCTAGAAGTGGCATTTAGTCTTCGTTTCCATACTTCATGCAACTGGACCTATTATCCCCATTTAATTCAGATTTGTGTAAAATCTCGCACTACATATCCTATCTCATAATAAAATATTGTGACGGGTATACCCATTACTAGGCACCGGGTCGGTAAACATATTTCCGCAGAAGCAAACTCGCGGAAAAATAAGACGTCCATTGCTAGGCAACGGAACTATAAACACGCCCTTTAACAGCAGAAAACTGTGTTTCCCGTGAGGTGCGCTATGAGGCTATATAACGAGGATCTCTCGCCGCTTGTCGGCGAAGTTAGTGCCAAATTTAGCGGAGAGAGGGTGTCGCGTGGTCAGCGCAACAAATCCCCATGACCGTTAAATTCGGTGTTTTAGACCGGAACCTCTATTTCCTTCAAATAGCTCCTCGATTATCCTCATGAGGGCGAGTGGACCCCGTTCCAGACCCATTACTTCTCAGAAAATCTGGTAGCGCAGGGAATCGAACCCGGACTTCTGAATCTGTAACCAGCAACTCTGACCACTAGACCACAGAGGCGGTCAGATACAAATATAATAATTTATAACAATATAAGATGGGGAAGAAAAAATTAATTTAATTATTTTAGTGCAGTTTATTTTAAGAAAAACCCGGACGACGAATGATTATGGCGGCTACTCTTTTATGAAAGCGAGATCCATTGCGACGTTTCATGCTTCCACCATTATAAATCAAAACTGCATACAGTGTTTATGTTCCGCGAACTCAGCCAAGTAACGTGGACTGCAATAATAATAGTGTCAATGGAAAGTGAAACACGCTAACTGTACTTAAAATAAAGACCGCTCTACAAGAAGCGACCAATCCCGTTATGCAGTTGGCCTATATAGAACTGAAGGAAAAATGAGACGACTCAGTGCAAAAGTAAATTAAGTGAATATGAATTTGAAGCACGCATAGACTAAGCTGCCCTACATTACCGACGTCTGTTTATTTACAGCGTTTACATAAATAAATATTTTATAGTTTGTTGTAACAACCACCAACCTGAACTTCGGGGCCGATGTCGATATTGCAGTTCCTTCTGGCATCTTCAGATCCAACCTGAAAAGAAACAAACAATTCTAGTTTATAAAATAATAAAGAAATTATTTTAGAATTATAATATATACTTTTATGCCTTCGCACGTGAGAGTAAGGTCACTTGACATAGCGTTTGAAAATTTTTGAACAAATAAAGGATTTATCGAAAAAAAAAATTTTCAAGATTAATTAGAGTAAGTTGTTGTCCTCATTATTATGTGTGGGATTTATGGAGGGATACACTGACAAGGAGCTGATGAATTCAACTATAATCATGCAGGAAGAAATGTGTTTACACTTGGCGGTCAGAAAATTAATATTCACCACCGTAAGGAACTCATACTTCAAGTAGCAGATCAATTTAAGAGTAATCACCGGAGGCGATATCCAGTCATATTAGATCGTGGTTTGAAATTTGTTAAGTTTTAAGTGACTTGCTCTGTCGGAGGCAAATCACTTTCGGATAATCCTTGCATCTCGAAATAAGACAAATTGTAACACCAAATGTTTTTGGTATAGAGGTGAACAATATTAAGGCGGATCTTAAAGGAAAAGTGTGGCAGAGTGTGGAGTGGAAGAACTAGGTAAGGATAGAGCAGAGCGAAGGGCTTCTTTGACCACAGTAATGAAAGTTTCGGCTCCATAAAAGGCGGAAATTATATTACTTTCTCAGACAGAGCCTCCTTAACATGGACGCCACTAAGAAAACTAATCTAAACTCCGTGGTTTGAGCCAGCAAGCGAACTATACCGACCAAGAGACCGCCGCTTTTCGGCGAAGTTAGTGCCAACTTTAGCGGATAGAGTGCGTCGCGTGGTCAGCGCAACGAATCCCCACGGCCGTTAATTTCGGTTTTCTTTTCAAATTTAGCAATATACTTAAGAGTGTTTAGGTTGAATCCTAAGGCTCTCAACTACTAACTTCAGCCCACTAAGTCTGTCTTAACGGTAAGGCTTAGCAGTTTGTGATCATGGAGTACTATGGTATTCAGTAGGTTTGGTTTTCTTTTGTTTCTCCTCCTTATTCTTAGCAGTAATAATAGTAAGCCGATATGCGCACGTAACTTCAAGTTATACGATCCCTAGGGCATCTGCACGTATACTTCATTTTTATTAGTACACCTACAACATGGACGAGAAAGTCCGGTGGGCCGATTGAGTATTAGGTCTAATACGTGTTTCGCCATGTTGAGAATGCCGATCAGCATTAAGGCTATCGTCTCCGAATTAATAAATAATAATAATAATATGTTATTGATTTATATGCTGAGCTTAAGAGACAGGGGCCGATTACAGAGTGAGTACGAATACAACATAACAGCATAAACAAACATGAAGATGAAAATGACAACAAAAAATCTAATTCAGTTAATATTGTCTTAATTTAAATATAAATTTTAAACTGTAATAGTAACAATAATACTCAAATTTAATTTTAGAGTGCTTTGCCAACAATATTAGCCTGTTACCGGCAAACACTGAAATACGAGTACATAACAAATGCAAAAGGAAATATAAAGATAAAAAGAATAATATATTTCATTTTAACTAGAGTTAGATAATAATAATAATAATAATAATAATAATAATAATAATAACGGCCTCCGTAGTCTAGGGGTAACGTTCCCACCTCATGACTCAAGGTACGCGGGTCCTACTAAAAGAACAGCGATATTAAAACAACTTCACAGTAAGAGTATATAGATTACAGGTTACAGGATTCTTCTTTATAATTAAGAAATCAGGGGGCACGCAGTAGCGTAGTTGGTTGAGGCACTATGCTACAAGCTCAAAAGTCGCGGGTTCAAGTCCCGATGAGGTCATTGGATTTTTTTCAATTGATCTAATCCTTCCAACCGAAGTATGGCCCTGGGGTCGACTCAGTCTCTAACAGAAATGAGTACCTGGAATATTCTTGGGGGTAAAGGATGGCCGGGGCGTTGGGTTGTTACCCTTGCCGCCATCTATGAGCCGATTGTCTAGAAAATGTGGGAACCTCAACATCTCACAACCCTATGGGCCTCCACGGCCTGTTACAGGGATACTTTCACTTACTTCTCTTTTACTTATTAAGTGATCAGTCCAAATCACGTGATCTTGATGACAGAACAAAATGAACAATATAATTCTACGAGGACTACTTTATGCTACTCAGAACTTTATGCCTTAGGATAACTGTTCTGATATCTACAGAGGGAAGGTCATGGGGCACGTAGATATCTAGAACCATCCAGGATCCATGCGTAAAACGAAACCCTTTTCCACGTCACTTAAAAGGGTGTCTTCACCCACTTTCCTTGTTCTCTGTTTCATTTTTATTTAGAAACCAATCGTTACAACGGAAAGCTGAGGTAATAAATATCTTAGAAACTTGTTCTTGCTGGCAAACGCATTTCCCATAAAGTCAATTTAAAGCCAAAACCTTATATTCTATTTCTTATGAGACTAAATGCATTGTATTAATTACGCTCAGGTCAATTGTCGAATTACATTCCTTACTGCTCGTACTAGTTCATTTATAGGAGGATGCAACCGAGTTGCCACATGGAGAATGCATCATAAATTACGAATTTACTGGAACTTCAACCGCGAATGCTACTGCTCTCTAGTGGCAGAGTTGTTTACTTGCCTTGAAACAAGTAACGATTGCTCGGCGCACTGCGCCTGCTCAACAGGTAAAACGCTGGGGGGGGTGGGGGGGGCAAGCTGACCATTCACCTCCATCTAACGCCGAAGTCAAGAATCGTGGAGCTATACCTGGACTCCCTTATACGTCTTCATGGCATGGTGCTTAACTAATTAATCACAGGGACATCTTTATCTCTCAACTTATCGTTTCTTAACTCTGTGAAATGATGAATTCATTTCATGAGCCTTTTCAGCAGCGAATGCTATATAATATCGACCACAAGGGTGATTAATTATTAATTGGTTTTGATATAGAACGCAGGTGTCGTGGCATATTTTACGGTACTATTCCATCATTTGTCATCAGAGACCTTGGGAATTCTAAAAAATTGTCAGAATAACCGGGTTCCATATTGCGATGATGCAGACTCGGAACATCTCATATAAGAATTAAAATTAATTACCACATCATAACGTTCGTTATTACATATAGGATGTTATACAATACTCATATATAAGATTTATACATGTATTTCACGTCCAAACAGTGAAGATGACGATTCACTTCAAATTATAACAGAGATTAAGAATGACTGGGGTGTTACTTAAACCCCACACGTCTTCATCGTATGATGTTCAGGCAGAGGGTAAAAAAAAAGGTAAAGCTATCCCTGTAACACACCGCGGAAGGCCATAGGGTTATGAGACGTCGAGGCTCCCACATTTTCTCTAGACAATCAGCTCACAGATGGTGGTGAGGTTGTCAGCCTTATATGCCGACCGATTTTTACCCCCAGGAAAATTCCTGGCACTCATTTCTGTTAGAGGCTGAGTCGACACCTGGGCGACAGTGTGGCTGGAAGAACTAAGTACATTCACAAATCCAATAACATCATCGAGAATCTAATTCGAGAGCTTCCGGCTTGTTAACATAGTTCTGCAACCAATTACGCTACCGCGAGCCTCCGTTTAGGCACAGGGACAATTTTAAATTATGTTTATCATCCCAAAAGTCCTGTTGTGGGAATGAGAAGGGAGGATGAATGCTAATAAACTGTTGTGGTCTTGCTAAGGGCACTCAAACTCTTCCATTATTTGTGTTTAATCTTTTTATTGTCCTGACTGATTCTTTCGTAATGCTGTCAACATTTTCATACATTACTTCCCCTCTAATTTCCTAACTTATCTAAATAAAAATATCGTACAATTAAATCATACCGTTGGTCACTTACACTAAATTGAGTTCAAAATTATCATGATAAATTGTAATTATTGACTTGGACACAAATTCCAGTATATTTTCCTTCCATTACTTCTTCTGTTCCCTGATGTAGAGAACTAATCAAGCTTAATAAATGTATGATAATAAGTAAATAAGCCATGATTAAATCATAAACAGTAACTTAACCTGACAGCTGACTATCGTACCGATACGTTTCTCACAATTCAATTCAATTCATGTTTATTTACGTGCAATAACTTAACAGCACAGTGGCCAATTACAAAGTTAGCACGAGTATATAAGGTACAGAAAATAATTAAAACAAAATACAAATATGACAAATAAATCTGTGAACATAAATCTAAAGAAGGCTGAACTATATACATACATTTATGAAATATTACGAGTGTTGCTAATACTGTTAGTAACTAAATACTAAGATAAGACAACTGGGAGTGATAGCATAAAATTAATAACAAGTCAATAAATTAAAACCAATTACATAAGAAAATTAAAGTTAGCCGAGGTATACACATTTGTAGTGAATGAAAACACTAATCAAGTAACACCGTAAAAGGTTTGGTACATGCTTGTAAAATATGATTCAGAGAAACCGCTCCGTCTGCAAATATGTCGAGATCTTTACCCACCACGTTGGTAGCAAGGGCGCACCTAGAAGAGGGACAGTGTCTTTTTGAGGGACGAACGCTAAAAGTAGAGAAGTCTCGAACATGGCAAGTAGGAACACGAAGACTAGCATTATCCAGAAGGGAGGAGCAGGATTTAAGGCCACGATAAACCTGAATGAAGAAGAGTGCATCAAGAAGATGTCTACGTAGACTTAGAGGGTGCAATCTTAGTCTCTCTAAGGCAGATGTATAACTATAGGAGCTATGTGGGAAGTAGCGGTAGAAACAGACAGATGCAAACTTTTTCTGGATGCGCTCAAGTTTTGCGGAGTCAGTAGACGTGATAGAATTCCAAGCTACCGAGGCATATTCCAACTTGGACCTGACTAGTGTAAGATACAGCACATATAAACAGTCAAGAGAAGAAAATCTAAAAGTTATTGAGCGTATAAGACCTAGCAGCTTTATACATTCGGAATATAAAAAATCAACATGATTGTGAAAATATAATTTAGAATCAAAGAAAACACCTAGGTCCTTAAC